AGGGAAGTTTTTCTACCATTTTTGTATATTTTACTTAAAAAAGTTCATTTTTTTTCTTGGTGGGCTCCAGAAATTAATTTCTGTGTAAGTCACTGATTGCGGCTATTAAATTAATTTATTTTAATTAAAATCTATGAGTATATAGGGTGAGATGAAAAAACTGCAACCAACTTCAGACTGCTGTCAATTCTAAGCCACTCGTCCGACATTTTTTCCAGTGACAGCTCATTATATTTTTTACAAGCGTACAAAAGCATTTTGGTGAGAATTTTCCAGAAAAAGAATTATTCGTTATGGAATTCAATCGTGATAGTGCGATTTCTTTGTATTCGGCTGGAAAACAACAAGTGGCTATCCAGCATTTAAATGTGAATAAGTCTATTGTTTCTCGTACCATCGCTCGTTACCGTGATACTGGTAACGTAGCCTGACGTCAAGGAACTGGATGGAAGAAAAAGCGACTTAATCGAAACCTGCTTCGCAGTGGCCAAAAAAGCTGAACATATCGCAATATTCCATTCCTTTGAAATTCCAAAAAGTGCAAGAACTTACACCGCAACAGAAAGAAAATAGACTCAAAAGAACTAAAGAGTTGCTTCGCTTGGCCGAAAGTGATGAACTGCCGAATTTCGTTGTCCAGCAGGTTGTAAACAAACAAAATGATCATGTTTACTTGTCAAAGAGGTCAGCTGAAAATGTGCACCACCAGAACTCAGGCGCCGGCCATGGTGATGGTGTGGGCCGCCATAATAGCCGATGGTCGTTCTCCGCTCGTATTAATCGACCGTGGCATCACCATAAATGCCGAATGCTATCGCGAAAATATTCTGGAGGGTATATTAAAACCTTGGGCACGCAAACATTTTGGCCGCAGACCTTGGACATTCCAACAGGACTCAGCACCATCGCACTCAGCACGCGTCACCGTAGAATGGTTACAAAATGAGGTTCCTCGCTTCACTTCCAGCGCACAATGACCACCAAAATCTCCGGATTCCAATCCGTTGGACTATCATGTCTGGAGTATTTTGGAAAGCAAGGTTAAAAATACCAAAGTGTCGATCACCTCAAGCAAGTGCCTCTCCGGTAACGGGCCAAAATACCGCAGAACAACATTCGGGCAGCATGTGACGGTTTCATTGGCCGTTTGAAGGCCATAATTCGTGTCAAAGGTGGCCAGTTCGAACAAATCTAAACTTATTCTGAAATTTGATGCTATTTCCGAAACTTTTTGCTTTCATTCAACAACATTTTTAAAAAATGTAAAATTTATGGCGTTTGACTTTGTTGCAGTTTTTTTTTATCTCACCCTATATTAAGATTTCCAAAGTTTGATACAGAATCGGATGATCCTTTCTTGTTCTACATGGTAAATGTTTTTCTATGAAAATTTTGACGTTTATTGGAAAGGGACCGATTTTTCCCTACTCCGAACTCGATTTATGTCTGAGGCAAATATTACGATGTAACAAGTTAGGACTAAATTAGGAGTAACCGTTAAAGTTATCATACGCACCAGCCAGACGGACGGATGGATACCCCTAGATCAACTCCAACTGTCCTGAAACTGGTTTGGTCCAAAGAGACCTAAGATAACAACCATTATTTCCTTGAGGCACAATTTGGCCTATCAAATTATATATCCCCACTGTAGCCATATGGCTGAGGGGATAAAAATGTTTTCAAATTTTGTCCAACTGAAAAAATTGTGCATTTTGAGTAGACGAATTTCAAATTTTAAGGTGGACTTTTTGCTGATGAAATTGTGCGTACTTGCTCATTTCTTAGCAGTTAATTTAATTTTATTATCCCATTTTAAAGGTACAGGCTTTACATTACCTAGTTGATACGTTATTAATCACTCTAAAATGCGATCAATATTTGCATTTCTTCTCAACAAACTCTTCAATGTAATCCAAGGCTTTTCAAAAATATAAACAACTAGCTGGCCCGGTCCGCGTTGCCGGCCCGTACTTTTAGTCTTTAAAGCATAATAAATCACAGATCTGACTTATGTAGGCGGCACAATTTTGATTATAAGTAATGACGACATTATAATTACTCCAATCTTGATTATAAATAATGACTTGATTATGAGTAATGACTCCATGACTAAATATAAATTAATATTCATTGCAAAAGTTATAATTACCGTCGGTTTTAAATATTTTGAATAGCCTGATCTTATTTTTCAGATATAGGCTTTAATTTGAGTGTTAAATACCTACATGATAAGAACATCCATGTGAGAATTCAGCTCAATTTTTGTTATTGTAAAAAGCATTGAAATGAGCTATAATTTGAAATTTGTATTTCCAACGTTTAACATCCCGTACTGCGTGGTATTCAGTTTTGTCCACCTCATACTTGAAGGCAGAATAGGCAGAATGTTGTCAGAATACTCTTTTGCTCCGATTACCGTAAGATGGGAATTAATTGTTTGTCATTTAAATTGTGCGGCGGAGATCCAATAAAGTTACTTTATAATTTCGTATTATTTTCATGTTTCTCCCACAATTTCCGACTGAATGAGACCCAGATTGACATTTCGGAATTTTTTTTTTTCATATAGACGTACATCCCAAATCTACGTTCCCAACCAATATTCTCTTGGGGGTTACAAATTCAATAGAATACCAAATTTTCTTTTCTGACCCCACATTGGTTGGGAAAGTGGACTTGGGGGTATATTAATGTGGGGACTGAACTTAAATAAATTCCTATGAGGATAATTATCAGTAAGATCTTTTTCTACCCCAGGGTTTTTTACACTAGGTAGCCTCAAGACTAAGCTGCGCACTTTTCCGAAAAATAAAAATTTATAAGAAGAGGTTTTCTTCCCCCTTAGAAACAAAGATGTCAAATAAGGGCCAAAAAATGGAAAAAAAGTGGCTAGACCCCGAAAATACCCTAAATCATATGATGGTGATACCAAAACGTGATAATTTTTTGCAAAGATGGTTTCTTCTTAAATTATCAACATAAGCTTAAATTAGTACGAAAAATATGATTAAAATGTAGAATATACTTGAAATCGGGTTGTTCCGTTATCAGGGGTTATGATCCATATCATGACCTGCAAAAGCGATTAAAGGTATCTTGAATGTTTAGGTAGAATTTATATTTTGCGTTCTTTAAGTCGGTATTTGACTGATTGCAGTCCCAATGTATTTTGAATTTTGTGTTCTCATTTGACAATTTATTGTCATATAAAAGAAGCAGGTCCACTTTTTGAAATTAACCCCATAACGCTTCTTCGGTCATTTTTGTTTGTTTAAAAGTGTTCGCATCTTCCAGCTGAAGCACGATGTAGGTCCTGGAGTAGAAAGCATTTAACATCGTATTGCGTCCTCATTTCATTTTTAATATTATTCATTCAGAATTCAAACCAATAAAAAATGTACACTTCAATATAGAAAAAAAAAGAATATTCTACTGGTTCGCTGATTTTTTTGCGGCAATTTTTTAAAGGTGATTACGAAGTTTGTCGGTAGAATGTACTATTATTTTGAAATTCGATTCCATTGAAAAATGTGATTTTTCCCGATTTTAAAATTTTCATATAAAGCGACAACGGATAAAATTGTTAAATACATAAAATCTATAAATAACAGTTTTATCCGTTGTGGCTTTATATTACCCAAAAAGCCTAAACATCATATTAGAATTCAAAAAAAAAAAGAAAAAAAAAACACTACAAATGTACATTCGAAAATAGTACGTCAAAATGGAAAAAATATGCAATATAAAACATTACTATTGTACATTTTAAAAGTCAAAATGAAAATGTTCAAATTTCACATTTTACGCGATTTTTTTTGGATTTTATTCTTTTCTGCCAAGAGGCAATTCCGAATTTGTTTAAATCGTTAAAATCAGACTGGCTGTCTTTATGTTATAAGAGTATTAACTAACACAACTTTCTTTTACATATAGAGAGATAGATTTAAAAGTAGGCGCGTTTCTCAGTCCCTAAATAAGTACTTAGGGTTGGATGGAAAGCCAACAGCATCTCGTGTAATAATTCTCAAACCGATATCTTCACTATTTTGGCAAATATAAAGATTTTAGATAAATCGTAATAGTGGGCGTAAAAGGAGGCGTGGTCAATATTTTTTTCTTTTAAAACCTAACTCGGGGTATGACGAACGTTTGTACAAAAAATTATGCAAATCGGTCCAGCCGTTTTCAACTGATTCCGTTACCAACAAACAACAATTGATTTTTATATATATAGATATATGGACAATATGGAGATTATTGTAACAAAAACTTAATCTTCCGTTAAATACTTTTTTTTCTAGGCAACAAACTAGGTTTTCAATATAAATATTTGTTTATAACTTTCCCTTACGAAAAATATCGAATAAAGAATACAATAGATGGTAGTTATTCGCTATCAATATATTTTGTTATGGGGAGCACAATCTAACACACACACACGCGCACAAACACTATTGACTGGTATGTGTATGGCAAAACCCCACCACACTAACAATGTAGTTTATTTGTAGTGTATAGTTTATGAACGACCTCTGTTAACTGCTCAATATGTTCACTGTTCCCGGCATACTTCATAATGCATGATATACACCTGAATGTAAGAAACAATAAATTTTATTTTCCCCCACACACATACACTCGCAAAACACCAACACCCACACAATATTTCATTAGCGTTTCCAATAGCTTAGACATAAACAAAAGCCGTAGTAAAAAGTTTCCATAAATATCAATATTTTGCAAAAAAAGTAATACAAACAAGAATATGCTACACCTTTCCAAACAATACACCTTGTAAATAAAAACTATTACCAGCCCACATCCTCTCTTTTAGGAGGAGGCCCTCTCTCTCTTATTTTCTATTTACAATTATATAATACCATCGACCATTACAGTTTTTTTTATGAGGCCCAGATGTCCACTACTCGAAGCGGCTGCTTTAAACTTTTCGAACGCCAGCATCTTTTTTGCATTAATTATTTTTGTACCTTTTACAGGTGGTTCCGTGAGACCCACAAAAGGTTGGAAGGCCGAACATAAGGCGGCACGTACACTCGGTATTATCATGGGTGTCTTTCTGTTGTGTTGGCTGCCATTTTTTCTCTGGTAAGTACAATGAACCGAAAACTAATTGCTGCTGCTTGTGCTGCACAGTGGTTTGAAATGGAAATAATTTGGTCGGAAAATGGATTAAGACTAGTTAGAACCAGCCAATATTACCTTTTGAAAATTATATGAGGCTATCATTATGCTAATGGTTTGCCAATAATATCCCCAATATATATACAAAGGGCGATTTTTAGCTATTATCTCTTTGGCAAAATAGGTTTAAACAGCTCCCACACGTTACGTGTTTTGTTTCACTGCCACACATCTCCAGTTTTATCTTTAACTTGACCAAGAACAGCACCTGCAAAATTTTTTTTTTTAAATACGTGCCTTGTTAAGAATGTTCATCGCGTCATTCTTTTTCTGCAACGAAGCTCATTATACCCTTAGCCATTGGATTCTTTTAAAATGCGCCTCATCGAAATAACGGTTTTAGACCCTAGGTCTCTTTGGACCAAATCCGTTTAAAGATAATTATAGTCGACCTAAGGATCTCTGGATGCTGCGCACTATAACTCTCGAAAAGGGTATCCGATTTGGTCCAAACTATTTGGTATATCGTAAAATTATTTTTAAACTTAGATCGAGTTCAGATATGGTCCATAAAGGACTACTTCTCTGGTACCTATCCCACAAAAGTCATTTTTTTTTCAAAGAAAATAATTTATCACGAACAAGAACAAGAAAGGATTATTAGATTTTTTGGATCATTCGAATCCTAATATTTTTGTCAGTGTTAGGTCAGGTGCGAAAATGGACAATATCGAGGCACTCCATCAAGTATCTCCCCCACAAAGGGTTTATATTTAGAATAATTATGACTCTTATAAAAAAAATCAAATTGTCTTCAAATTTCACACATCCGAATATTTCTAACAACGCAACCGAATATTTCTATAAAAATAGAATATATCGGTCCACTCCTTCTGCTACCTCCCCACAACGGGTCAAAAATTTAATTAGCCATAATGCTTAGAAAACGCGAAATAAGCATCCTATTTATTTCAAACTCGACACATACCTATATTTCATTTTTATTTGGTGTAAGGATGGGATATATGGGTCAACCCCTTCTGGTACCTCACCCACACTAAAGGTCAAATTTTTGAACAATAAAAACGATCATAAAATCAAATTTCACAAATCCCAATATTTCTAAAAACAATATGTGGTGTGATATTGGAATATACTGGGTGAGATGAAAAAACTGCAACCAACTTCAGACGGCTGTCATTTCCAAGCCATACGTCCGACAGTTGTTAAAATTATTCCAGTGACAGCTCATTACATTGTTTACAAGCGTACAAAAACATTTTGGTGAGAATTTTCCAGAAAAAAAGTTATTCGTGATGGAATTCAAGCGCGATAGTGTGACTTATTTAAATTTGGCTGGAAAACCACAAACCACAAGAGGCTATCGTTAGAGCACCCCAGCATTTAAATGTGAATTAACTTTTGTGTCTCGTACCTTCGCTCGTTACCGTGATATTGGTAGCGTAGCTCGAAGTCAAGGAAGTGGATGGAAGAAAACAGCAACATCAGCAGAAATGGTTCGAAAAGTAAAGAAACGACTTGATCGAAACTCGCGTCGCAGTGGCCGAAAAATGGCTCGTGAGCTGATTATATTCCATTCGGAAAATATTGAGAATGAGATGGGGGTAAAGCCATTGAAATTCCAAAAAGTGCAAAAACTGACACAGCAACAGAAAATAGACTGAAAAGAGCTAAAGAGTTGCTTCGCTTGGCCGAAAGTGGTGAACTGCCGAATTTGATTTTCTACGATGAGAAAATCTTTGTTATCCAGTAGTTTGTAAACAAACAAAATGATCGTGTTTACTTGCCAAAGAGGTCAGCTGAAAATGTGCACCTTCGGTTGGCCACCAGATCTCAAGCGCCGGCCATGGTGATGGTGTGGGCCGCCATAACAGCCGATGGTCGCTCTCCGCTTGTATTAATCGAACGTGGCATCAGAATAAATTCCGAATATTATCGCGTAAATATTCTGGAGGGTGTATTAAAGCCTTGAGCACGCAAACATTTTGGCCGCAGGACATTCCAACGGGACTCAGCACGCGCCACCCATGAATGTTAACAAAATGAGGTTCTTCGCTTCATTTCCAGCGCACAATGGCCACCAAAATCTGCGGATACCAATTCGTTGGACCATTGTATCTGGAGTATTTTGGAAAGCAAGGTTGGCACTAAAAAAATACCAAAGTGTCGATCACCTTAATCAAGCGCTTCGCCGGGAATGGGTCAAAATACCGCAGAAAAACATTCGGTCAGCGTGTGGCGGTTTCATTGACCGTTTGAAGACCATAAATCGTGCCAAAGTTGGCCAATTCGAACAAGTTTAAACTTATTTTAAAATTTGATGCTATTTCCGACATTTTTTGCTTTCATTCAAGTAAATTTAAAAAAAAAATGTAAAAATTATGGCGTTTGACTTTGTTCCAGCTTTTTTTTATCTAACCCTGTATATGGTACCCCCCACATCTTTTCAACATTTTCATAAAATTATCACATATCTCATAATATGTGAAGCAAGTAGTCGATATAGTCCAAATCTGTCACGTCGTAATATTATATCAGATACAAAATGGAAAATATTGGGCCTCTTCTTCGGAACCATCTTCATTAAGATTCTCTGTGGGTGCAATCAACTTTTGGTCCATGACCCAATATAACGGCACCTCCTGATAATTTAAAGGCTTCAACCCCAAATTTCAAAGAAAAAACATAAATAATTGGTCATTTTAGATTTTCTGCAGGGGTATTTACTTATTCTATTTTGGTTCACTTCATGGTATAGGCGTAAAATTGCGGTACCTCCTAATTTTTTAATCGTTTTTGAGTTGTTTCCCCAATTTCCAACCAAAGGAGCTGAATTTCATATTTCGGGTTCTATGTGGGTAGATGAAGTTATCATTAAAAATTAGTAAAAAAACAGCTAAGTTCGGCCGGACCGAACTTTTTATACCCTCCACCATTTGAACGGAACTTGAAAATTTTCAAAAACAAATTCCGAAAACTACCACTTAATTGAAACCCGCTACATGTGTACTATACGAAGACTTGGACATACAAACAATTTTGTCATAGGCTGAAGTACCCATTACGAACTTCAAATACGAAATTATAAATAATTCCGGTAAATAATGTCGCTAAGACCATGAAAATACCGAATATTGGGAGGTATCCTTATATGGTGGCTATACGAAGATCTGAACCTGTATACAACATTTTTTTTTTTGCCATATGTTGTAGTACCCATTAAGATCTTCCAGTACGAAATTTGAAACGATTCCGGTGAATAATGGTGCTGAAATCATCAAAATACCGAATATCGGGAGGTTATACGAAAACGTGGACCGACATGCCCCATCAGCGAACTTAACCTGCCTACTGATAAACTATGCATTTATGCAAAATTTTAGCCTTCTATCTCAATTCGTTCGAAAGGTAGCGTGATTACAACAGACAGACAGACGGACACTAGCGTGATCAGCGTCTTAAAATTTTACGCTGATCCAGAATATATACACTCTGTCGGATCTATTATGAATATTTCGAGGAGTTACAAAAAGAATGACAAAGTTAATATACCCTCCATAGAATGGTGGAGGGTATAAAAATATTAAATATAGTCCCCATATAATGGAGAAAAAATTGACCCGGCCGACCTTATCGTCCTCCTATTCATTTTCTTTACAATTATCCATTTTTTTAAACAACTGTGCAGCACCACCTTATATTCTTTCGTTACGAAACTATTACATTTCACACTACTCTCACTTCATTAGGTACGTGATAACATCCCTGTGCGGTCCTGCATGCCCCTGTCCCGATGTTGTGGTGGCCGTACTCTTTTGGATTGGTTACTTTAATTCAACGCTTAATCCTCTCATTTATGCTTATTTTAATCGTGATTTTCGAGAAGCATTTCGCAATACACTGGAATGTGTTCTGCCGTGCCTGGAGAAACGTAATCCCTACAATGCTTATTATGTTTAGCGGCTGTAAGAAGCGGGTTACACCAGAGGAAGCAGGCGACGTGCAACATGTTGGTGGTTATCTTGTCATCGAATACACAAAACAAAAGGGTCTTTTGCCCCCCTTTGCTGGAGATAAACGCAACAATGTTCAAGTTACGTTACGTTACGCACACACACACTCACAAACGCTCACTTACATTGGCCACAAACTTATTGGTTATATGTTAGGTGATACCTTTTGATAATGAAATAAACGATGAAGTGGAAAGCTGCATTCCAATGACAACGTCGACAACCAACCCCAACCACAACCTCCAACACCTCTACCATCATCATTGCCATCATCAGTTACTCAAACATACGTATGAAACCAACCTAAACGTAAGTGTATAGTTAATCTAAGTGTGATTGTATATGTATTTGTATGTATGTATTTATTTGTTGTATGTATGTTAGTAAGCGACACTCAAGTCGGAAAAAAAAACTCATAGTTATTCTTATATGAAGCGATAGTAAACTATTTATATGTGATAAATATAAAAACAAAAAAACAATGTAACAGTTCTCTTATATATAGGTGCATATGTGTGAATGTTTAGCGATGTAATTTTAAGTTTTACAAAAACAACAACACTAAAAAAAAAACAAAGAAAGAAGTAGACGGTAAGAATAACAATATTTTCGAATAATATCCACATTTTGTTGATTGGAAAATGAAACAAAGTTTACAAATTATCTAAAAAATAAATTAAGAAATTTTCAAACGGTCAAATTTTGATATCAAAAATATTTTCAAGAAAAAACCAGCAGATTATGAAAATAAAGCTAACCATTATAGAAAGTCGTAAAGTCGGGCGGGGCCGACTGAATGATATCCTACCCCACTTTGCATATTTTAAAGTCCAATGGAACTAATATATGTATGAGAGAAATATCCTCCTCTGAATCGAACTTTTATTACCCATTTTGTGCATAACAAACTAATAAATCGGATATAGATATATATGGGAGCTATATCCAAACCTGAACCGATCTCGATAAAATTTGTCAAAGGTATATCTGTGCTAAATTTGACATATTTCACTGAATATCGTTGTTACGGAGTGCATATTACGGCTGTGGAGAACAAATATAACAAACCGGATGAACAATATATACGGGAGCTATAGCTATAACTGAACCGAATTTCACCAAATCTCTAAACTCATTTTGGTCGTAAGTTCCAAACGATCTTCCGATCTTCACCAAATTTGACATACTAGACTCATTAGGTCGTATGTGCCAAATTCCATCCCATTTGGGCAAATATTAGACGTTTGGTGCACAATAAAAGGTAAATCGGACGAAGTTATATATGGGAGCTATATCCAAATCTGTACCGATCTCGATAAAATTGAGCACATGTATTTCTGAGCTGTATTTGATATATTTCCCCAAATATTGTTGTTACAGAGTGCATATTACGGCTGCGGAGGACAAAAATAACAAATCGGATGAACAATATATATGGGAGCTATAGCTATATCTGAACCGATTTCGATCAAATTTGGCATACTTATTTTCAGGTGCAATCTGATCGTACGTGCAAAATTCCAAACTATTCGGACTGATATTACACGTTTGGTGCACAATAAAAGGCAAATCGGACGAATATATATATGGGAGCTATATCTAAATTTTGACCGATTATCTCCAATTTCAATAGGGTTCGTCCTTGGGCCAAACAAATGTTGTTTGGAAAATTTCATCTCATCAAAAGGAACTATGGGTCTATCTCGTTTCCTTTTGCCTGTTACAAACAAATGCACAAAGACATAATATCTGACCACTTTGTGGTGTAGAGTATTTTTATACTTTTTATACTTATACGCTCCACCAATCGGAAGGAACTGAAAAAACTCAACAAAAAATCTGTCGAAAAATACCGTTCAAATAAAAACCTTTATGTGTGGGCTATGCGAAGACTTGGTGCTGGATAAGTAATTTTCTGTCATAGGCTATAGTACCGATTCCGAACTTCAAATATGAAATTTGGTGAATAATGTCCCTAATAGCATCAAAATACCGAATAAAGGGAGGTACCGTTGTATACTAAGAGGTCGAACTGCATAGACAAATTTCCGCCATAGGTTGAAGTACCCATTACGAACTTCAAATATGAAATCTGACGCAATTCCATTGAATAATGTTGCTAATATCCGGGAAATACCGAATATCTCGGGGTAGCGATATATGGGTGCTATACTAAAACGTAGACCTTCGTAGACAATTCTCTTTCAGGGGTAAAGTACTCAGAGAGAACTCCTTGTGTTGATTTTCAGACTATTATATTGAAAAATGTGGCTAAAATCATCAAAACACCGAATATCGGGGTCTATACGATATCGTTGATCTATACAGAAAGTTCCCTTTCAGAGGGTAAAGTATACGCAGAGAACTTCTTGTGTAGAATTTAAAACAATGTCATTGAAAAATGTGACTAACATCATCAAAATACCGAATGCCGAGAGGTACAGTTATATGGGAGATATACGATATCGTGGACCTATGTAGACAATTCTCTTTCAGGGGGTGGAGTTTTCGGAAGAAACTCCTTGCGTGGATTTTAAGCAAATTCCATTAAAAAATGTGGCTAAAATTATTAAAATACCCATTATCGGGGGCACCATTGTATGGGGGCGGTACGATATCGTGGACCTATATAGAAAATTCTTTTTCAGTTGGTAAAGTGTTCGCAGATAACTTGTGTGAACTCTTGTGTAGAATTTAAAACAATGCCACTGAAAAATGTGACTAACATCATCAAAATGCAGTTATATCGGAGATATACTATATCGTGAACCTCTATTGACAATTAACTTTTAGGGTGTAGAGTACTCGGAAGGAACTCCTTGCGTGGATTTGAAGCAAATTCCATTGAAAAATGTGGCTAAAATCATTAAAATACCCAATATCGGGGGCACCATTGTATGGGGGCTACACGATATCGTGGACCTATATAGACAATTCTTTTTCAGGAATAATGTATTCACAGTGAACTCCTTATGTAGAATTTCAGACAATTCCATTGAATAATGTGCTTAAAATGTCGAACGGACAGACGGACGGACAAACAGGGCTAAATCGTCTTAGAATGACGATTTTAATATGCCCTCCATACTATGTATGGTGGAGGTTATAAAAATCAAAGACTTAATTTTCACTTTTAGTACATAAATTTCGAATATAATTTTCTTAAAAACTATTCCTCTTAGATGTATAGTTTATTTTGAAATGTATAGTTAAATTTGGTGTAGAATATGTCTTCTCTTGACACCGTCTACCTAAAGCGAAATCGTATGTTACTTTCAGGTGTCAAATCGAAAAAAGGAAGAAGAAAATCTGATCAAGAAAATTGGTTGTTATTTTAGAACATTAATGCTAATATTTTTTTGATATGCAGTTGAAATATGAATATCTTTTCATTGGTGACCTATAGTGAAATTTGATAAGGAATCTCTGTCTTTGACGTCATCCTATCAAAATGATGTTTTTTTAGCAGCATTATGCATAAAGTCACCTGAAGTACGGTTTAAATTTAAAATGTCTTTTTAAAATTTATCAATTTCTGGCATTTGGATAAGATTTAGACTCTTGACGTCTTCTTGAAGGTTAAAATTTTAAAAAAAAGTAGTCCTAATATTTGTATCTGTAATATTGCCAAAGATACTGCCTACGATAACCCGACCCCAAGGAATCTTAATCCAAAAATTTCGAAAAGTGTGGAATAGGGGTAACTTTCCCTCTCTTTTTTGGTTTCTTTGGTTTCTTTTATTTATTTTAGCTCATTTCTCATAATTTGCTGGATTTTTTTCTATAATTTGTGAAAATTTTGAATTTTTTCTGGATTTTACCTATTATAATTTTTCTGTCGCACAGTGTAATCCTCGTTTCCTTCAAAGTAATATTTGAGAAGGCACTATATACCTAAGATGACAAGGAATCTTAATCCAAAAATGTACAAAATTTTGGAATAGGGAGGAGTTTACCCCCTCTATTTTTGGTCGCTTTACAATGTGAACTTTTAAAAAGATACGTGTATCGGGTATTTTCTATTTTTAGCAAAATTTTCATAATATTCTGGATTTTTTCTGGAATTTTTAAAAAAATTGAATTTTGTCGCACAGTGTAATTTACATTATTCGCATTTTTAAAAATGTAAACAAGTGGATGTTATTCAATATATTGTTATTTCTCATAGTGTTGTTGCTTTATATTTACTCATCTATGTTATTTAGTATTTAAAGCAATATTTATTTAAGATATTTATTTTGTGTAATATTTATTTAAGATGATATTATTTTTTAACATTATTGACAAATAATGTTATATGCATACATTTAAGCATACATTTTACATATTTATCAAATCGAAAAAAAAGAAAAACACACACACACTTGTTACAATTCCAATACATTGATGACTTTTTTTGTTGAAGGGTTATTGTTGTTTTTTTTATTTTTAATATATTTTTATAACTAACTCGGAATTAAGAAATTAAAAAAAAAATTTATATATATATATATATATATATATATATATATATATATATATATATATATATATATATATATATATATATATATATATATAAATGTATCATTGTTTTTATAGTTTGTATATTTATTAATTCTTAATTGTAGAGTCAATAACAGGTCAATGAGGATATAAAATTATACAAAACTAAATTTTTGATTTAAAACATCCTGACATTTTTTAATCGAATATCGAGATCAACGGATCCATGTTATGGTCTTTTCGTACTAGCGGTAGAATACGTTCAAAATATGATTTTTCTGTTTGCCACAAAATTCAGCACTTGTGAACAAGCAGGGGTTATTATATTTTTTTTTGTTTCTTTTTTAAATGTTGTTTCAAGGATCATAGAAGCCATAGTCATGGATCTTTAAATATATTTTACGGGGTAACAGACAGTGAAATTGTTATGTATATTAACGAATGTCATCATAAGGTTCAAAAAATATGCACGGGATATTTAGGACATAATTGTAGATTGTAGAATTTTTTTTATAAATAAAAAATGAATCTACAATTCTGGATATGTTCTACGATTTTTGGCAGTGAAAATTGAGGCCAAAGTCGAGCATTGTTGTAAACGGGAGCTACAATTTCATGAATTTTAATTGTTAAGGGAATGGCAGTTAATTTTTTTAGGGCTATAACTAATAGTCGTATAAGACCTCAAAGAAAAGAACTTTAAAAAGGGAAATTCAAGACGTAATTATCATTTTTTTATTAATTTTGAAAAAGTGTGCTGCAATCCCGGATTTGTTTTAGAAAATTCTGCTCCGAAATGTCAAAACATAGTGGATTT